AACAAGGCTGATTTATTGGTGAGAATGAAATCAGCCAAGCATAAATCTGACACTTGTGATAAATCTCCATAAGTTTAGTCTGCAGGAGCTGGATGAGTCAATTTATGGCTTTGTAGTGAAGCCGCCACTGTTGCTCCAAGTATAATAAAAGGTGTAAACTAAAGCACTCCAAGCGTGAGACTTATGATTAGCAATGAGATTCTCCATAACACAATCACTTTTTTTGTGCAGTTTATTGTGGATATAGACGACAGGTTGTGAGAAAAATGTGCCTATGTTGAGCAGTATTTATGCAGTGATAACAACATTGATTCATACAATACATCCTTTTGTATTTCTTAAAGGAACTTATTCATTGTATTCCAAAGTTTAGACTGGACATTCACCTCTTATGTTTTGTGTTGTTGTGTCACCTATGCAGGCAGCCCAAGGAGTAATATTCCTTGTACTGTCACCTGCAAGTCAATAAAAAACATAATCTGATAAGCATTATGCTGCACTTCTAATTATAACAGTTATAAATAAAAGGAAATATCACAATCATTTACTATAAGACCATAAGGTAGAAAGCAATAACATAGAATAGATTTTTTTTTTAATACTACACATTCATTAACACTTCACATTATTATTATTAATAATTAATTATTAATTACTCATTTACTTTCATAGATCACTGATACTATGATGGGGTCTTGTCAGACTAACAACAAAAACCCTTTGTCTCTATTCATTTGACATTTGTGCATCTTTTTCTGTAATCACGGCAAATGATAAAATGCACTTCATTGGTTTTTCAAGTGTTTTAGCATTTCAGTGCGTAGTTTTTGTTTGAGACCTGTTCATTATGTTTTTATTGGCTGCGCTGTGACATAACATGTTTGACAGGGATGATTTGTCCAGTGTACAGCTTCAAATATGACAGTTAAGAGCCTGCTTCACAAAACCCACAGGCAGATCAGGAGAGGTCACACACGCCACAATCAATCATATAAAAGTGTGAAAACTTTGACAACCTGTCATTTTGTCACTGGCTTTAGCTTCACATTTATGTTACAGACATGAGAGAGGAATATAAATTCTCTTCTAACTCTCAGCAAGAAAGTGAGCTAAGTAACCATATTTCCCAAAATGTCTAATTGTTCCTTTAACCATCATTCATCTTTGAGGTATGGTTTAATCATAGTTAGCAACAGCACAGTATCTTTTGATTTCACTAAAACCTATAAAATAATGGAGTTATAAGACCATCGTGTATTTTCAAATGTAAACATGCTGTTTATCTAAAGTGTGAGATAAAAGCCATAGTCACACAGTGTGGTAGCAATTAACACGTGACACAGTGCAGAAGCCTGGATAAACCCAGGGAACTGAAACTAATAACAAAGTTTATCAGTTTTAAAATCATCTACTTTATATACTAATCTCTGAGACCATAAAGTTATTGCATACACATCTTTGGCCTTTGAGTGTCACAGTATAAGCACTGTCTTAAAAAACAGTGATTCATTTCTAGGACAGTAGTTTATTATTATTTTAAAGGAAGAATGAGACAAAAATAATAAGGCAATCAAGCCCTTATAAGAACAGAGGTTAAGGGTCTCTCATTCAGTCACTAAAATCTGTGTCTATTTTTATCCTACTAGGAATAAAGCTGCTCATTTCTGATTTTTCCACAAAAGCTGTATGACAGTGTTATTGAAATCATGTTTTATCTTGCTGTACAGGAGCAGCATTGATCCAATGATGTTCACCAAAGGTATTAAAAGTGAGGGCTCTGCATATTATATCAAGTTTAGACACAACTTTACAGTTGTAAGTTTGATTTCTCTATCACAAATAAAGTGTGAATTTATCATATGCAATGGTATTTCACACACGATACAACTTCCGATATCTGACACATTATAGAAACTGAAATGTGTAATTTAATATATATATCTTAGTGAGTGAAGGAATTAAGTTTGGTGTTGAACTCGAAACGTTTCTTCTAGACTGGTAAGTAAACAGCTGTTAATGCTAATGTTAGCTATGTAGCTAAATTGCTTCTTTTTCCTATATATTTAATATAAGAGGCTAATATGCTAATGTTTATAGCTTGTTTTGCTGGCCCCAGATGGCCAAAAAATTCATTAACACAGGTTTCAAGAATATGGATCATTTTATACTGAGAAGGTCACAGGTTCATGTTGAGCTAAAGGCATAAAGAGAACTTGATGCGTCTGTAGTGAAAAACATTGCTTGCTGACCCACTTGAGTCGGTGGTGACGGGGGTCAGATAAATACTCAAACATATTCTATTCACACTCAGGCTGATGATTTACCTCCCTCCAGCCTATAATGCTTGTCATTAGTCTTACCTGTCTGAGTACCTGCCCTTTCCCATGACTCAGAGACTGTTTTTCACTTCTCGACTAAACAGAGAACCATTTGGCCAAACAGTAAATTTCGACAAGAAATTGACTTGAAAAGAAACTTGAAATCAGTACATCAGTTGAAGTATGTAAAGTCAATAGGCTTTCATTTTTTTTAATCATCATACATAAGCAGTTTGGGTGAACAGGGGTTACTGAGAGCAGTGAAATGTCAGACTGAACCAAATGACACCGTCTGTCACCTTTAGCCGAACATTTCCTCACATCACATCACATTAGAGCATGAAAATTCTGTGTTTTGAATATTTCAACAAATTTAAATTATTAGCATGCATCACCTCATACAATTTTTTTTTTCTCTGCTGTGTGTCACACTGTACAGCCCACACATTTCTGCCAAACAGCCTCCCTGTCTGAAATGAAGTTTAATGATTAACAACGCAGTCTCAGGCTCATATACAATTCACACCTATCTGCATGGACTGAATGATGCAGACAGTGTGAGAAATGATGACTAATATGGGTTTTAAGCAATAACTGACATGATTTCAGATGTTCATTATTATTCATCAATACATTATCTATAACCACTTATCCTGTGCAGGGTCAGTGGGGGCAGGAGCCTATCCTATCATACATGTGGGTGAGACAGACAGACAACCATTCACACGCCCATTCACACACCCAACATGCATGTCATTGAACTGTGGGCAGAAACCAGAGCTTCCAGAGTAAACACACATAGGCAGGCTTAAATTAAACCACTAGACCCCAGGCAAAAAGAAAATGAGCTGTGAGTCCCTGTTAACCCCACTCTCCCACTTTCAGACCGCTAGTATAATGGTTAGCTTCATTAGCACTAGCCCCAGTTCTGACCCTGTGCCCCACACATTACAGCTCCACCACACAGACTTCTCAGCACAAACCAGAGGGAACCATAGGGGGGAATACAAACGTTATTTTTCATCCTTTTATTTAGGAGTGTATTTATTTAGGACCATCAAAGCTGCCTTCATGGTCAGTGTTTTCTGTTTGTCCTCGATGGAAACACGAAACCAACGTTCAAATCCAGTATTTCCACAGACTGATCATCGATAGATCGACAAACATGGCTCCTCAGTTCTCTTTTTCGGTGTGTGGATTTAAACATTGTTTTCACTCCACGCAAAGATGTTCTCATCCCGGGCAACCCGGGGAAACTGTTAAAATAACACCATCCTAATGATAATCTGCCAAGACCACCTCAGAAACTTCAGACATTGCTAATGAAATAATAGGTACAGACTGTTAGATTTTACTGTTTCAGTTGCAATTTTTATCTGTTGTATGACGACAACAGTGTTGAGATCCACTGTGCACCCTGTGCCTGTTAGGTAGACACATCCGTCATGCTCGGCGTAAAGAATTGTGTTTAATGTGCTCATTAAAAACCTCACAGATGTGTCACTGGATTGCCACACCCTTGCACTGTGGTTGCATGCTTTGTGCCATTCACAAGCGAAATCAATTGATTTTCTCGCAGCCTCTGGCTGTCCTTGAAAGATGCAGCGATTAGATAGTTGTACCATTACTGGAAGGTCACAGGTTTGATTCCTGCAGCTGCTGATGTGTCTGTCTGTGCTGAAGTGCTGTCAACCTTGTCACCAAACCGCTGTCTACCAAAAGGACAACTCTTTAGCTTTGAGGGAAATGCTACTAGAGATATTCATGTTGTTTCCAATCCTCTTTATTCAATGCTCATCTGCTTACCAAAAGCTTTTACAACTGTTGTTCTACACACACACAGTGTCTAGTCGGCCTGAAAGCCTTTTAGGAAGTATACACATATTTTACATTTGTTACAAACAATTAATTCAGGCCTGGCCGGACTCAAGGGCTTAATAAAAAAACTGAATTTCATTTTTTATGCAGTAGAAGCAGAAAACAGAGTCTTGCAGCAGTAAATAGCATCTGATTATTCCACACCACAAGCTAATGAGAACACTGCAGGCATCCCACATAGGACAGAATAATATTTGCATATAAATGTAATGCTTTTTGTTAGCTGTGTTTGGTGCAAATGGGTGTGTTTGTGTTCATAAGACAATAAGAAAGTTAAAGATATGACAGGGAAATATTTGAAATTAAATTTAATACGGTAACTTTATTTATCTTTTTTTTCTCTGTAATAAACAATATGTTGTACAATGTTGTGAATCCCAAACAAAACAATATACTTATCAGCCCATGTATAAAATCAACATATGACTTCTACTAAATATGGTTTGATTCAGGTCATATTTCAACATATGAAACAATCATTTGCATAGGTGTGAGTAACAGGACTTTCTAACAATGAGCTGGTGTGGCTTCAGTGTCATCAATGGTGCCATGGTAACTCTTTAACTCACCAGAGGTGGGGTCGATTCTGCAAAACAGAGCAGACAAGTGAGGCATGGATCCATAAAAATAATCTGACAGGTGATGAGGTCAAAGTAGAATTTATGAATTCCCCTTTACAACGCTGTAAAACTCATCGTCACTCATTAACCCGTGAGAAAAGCGCCTCTGGTCACATGACTGCTGTTTAAACTGTTTAAAAGAAGGCTTGTGGACCGAGGGAAAAGCAGACACTGAGCTGAGCCACTGCTGAGCACATCCACAGCAAAAGACAAAGACAAAGCTTCAAGGCAAAAAACCGCTGTCAACTGTCACCATGAAGGCTACACTCGCCACCATCACTCTCCTGGTCCTGGCTCTCGGCTGGACGTCTGAGGCCGTGCAAGTCGAAGTAAGTGCATCACTTAGCATTGCTGTTGACTGATGTCTTCACGATGAGACTGACTGGACTGGACAATGAGCTTTTCTACTCATTCTGAACTCTGAAAAATTATCAACCATGGTAAAAATTTGCAAACCTGGGCCACATACTTTTGTATTGTTTCATTATTTGAACTAAAGGTACATTAGCAAACTGGACCTTTAGTTGGGTTTCACTTCTTCAATACAAACATCTGCCTCTCCTTCCAGGAAAATGGATTGTCTTTCTCACTGGAGGCCGTCAAGAGGCTCCAGGAGCTGACAGACAGCAGGTTTGCAACAGGACAACAAAACCCACGATTCAGGACGAGCACCATGTCCCTCTGTGCCGACCCCATGCTCCCCCAGGAGTTTCTGCTGCTCTGCAGGCAGAGAGGCGCATCCGCATCTCTCACCAGACTAGGTGAGACCATTATAAATTGAACAGCCTTTCTTTGTGATTGAATTTCAAGTAAACAATTCATGAATATTAAAGTACAGGTGATGCAACAGTGTCTAATGTCAGTTGCTCAGTGGCAGTGGTTAATTCTTTGTCTTTTTCAGCTGCGGTTCCCCTTGACGTCTGTGAGATCTGCGCCTTTGCTGCCTGCACTGGCTGCTAAACAAACCCAGCAAACCAGAAACATCGTGCCGAGCTTAAGACTTGTGATTTTTTTTCCTCTCCTTCAAAACGTTTTCAGGGAATTTCTTAAAATTTTACCTGCAATGATGAGACGATGACTTTATGTTCCCTGAATACCGAGGTTCTGACTATGGTGCACTGGGCATAAATATATATTGCAAACTGTTACTTTGTAGCATATTTACTAGAGAAGTTTTTTCTCATACATTTTATTTTTGGAATGACATTGTTTGTTACAATTCTATCTTACCAAGCTTTGTATTGTATTTAAAGGAGTGGTTTCTTTTTGCATTTTTCTCTTTTTTTGAACATTGTTTTGAATAAAAAGCCTTTACTGATAGATCAACTTTGTCTCTCTGTGGTTTGGTGCTGGTCAAGTAGCATATAGGGGGTTTATCAGAGCTTCTTTGACAGAAATGGCTGCCTGAGGGGTTGACAAAAGAGGTAAATATAGATACAGTAAATGTGTATACACAGATCTAAAACAGCGAGCTAAAAGTGGATGAGAAGCTCCATAGAGCTCCATTGCTAATACCACAGTGTCTTTTATGATACTATCACTGTGGGGTAATTAGGTCTGAAATTTTCAAATTCTACACAAAGTGGCTTTAAACAGTGCAAAGAAACCACACCTCGAAATACCCAATTACAGGCGTGTCAACTCCTACTTGCACTCTGTGTAAATGTGCTGCGTTATTCTTATCACTGATTAGTCCACTTATCTTTACCCTTAACTCACCCAGGGAAGGTTTGTGGACCTTATATGCACTTGTATTTCCACACCTATGGCACAGTCTGGTGAACACTGGCTGTATCTGCAGGAGTGCCCGGAGGTCCAGCACCCCAATGTCTAGTAATTAATGCAAATATGAGTGTGTGAGTCTGATATGAATGTATACAGTACAAGCTGTACAGTATTTCCTATATGTGCAGTAATGCTGATAAGGCAGTTTTTGTTCCTATTTATTTATTTTTCTTGCTTCATAGGGAAAAAACATCACAGCAGTTTCTTTCCCCCTTTCTGTTAGGGAAGCAGCTGCATTCTTCATTAACACACAAGCCTGATTCTGGCTGATTTTTAGACTGAGCAAATTAGAAATAAGTTTAAATGTGACAAGTTTCAGGGATGAAAAAAAAAAAAAACTAAAATTGAAATTTAATCAAGAGATTTAGTATCTGTCCACCAGATTTATATCCTGGCAATGTGGAGAAGGAAACTAATTAGACTGATTAAAATGTAGGAATTATTTATTCATTTATTTATTTATTTCTGTATTTGAGGAAAAGCCAGAAAATATAGCCATGTTTTAGTGATGGCTTGTACTAAGGGTCTTTGAAAGGTTGTATAATGGAAGTAGCTGTAGAAAGAGGAGATGGGGATGTAATTTCCTGATATGCTGCTGCCTCCGTTCTGATGCTCCTGTATATGGGCTCCATTTGCCACTCTGCTCTCAGTGTTCATTACAGGTGATAATCACAAAAATCACCACACACCATTTTATATGATGCAGTCCGTTGGGCACAGTACAGCTGATCATTGTTGTTCATGGGGTCGGCATGTTTAGCCAACTTACACTGTAAAAAATAAAGGTTAAAAAAATGAATCAATTTAAATGAAATTGAATTCAACACATACCAATCAAGAGACAACGTATGGGACCATTACCTTACAAGCCATGACTTGAGGTTCATGTTTTGATAAATGTTTTCTTCAGAGTAAGTCTGACCTAATCTTTACACTTATCTTGTCTCGTCATTGTTCAAATTTCTTCCACAACTTGAGAACTATTCTAAATGACTGCAACAACTCGCATTGATAACATTTTAAAATATTTTCTGATTTAGATGTTTGTCTTCAGATTTATTACATTATGGGGTTTACTCGGGGTATTGGCTGCCCATTGTCAACCCTTCACCCTTATCTCCAAGCATCAATGAGGTTCAAGCTGAACTATCCTGTATGGCTTCCCTTTGCTCTAAAACAGCCATATCTCTTCATGTCATGAATTCCACAAAATGTTGAAAACGTTTTCATTTTCTAGTCTATGTTGATACGACTGCATCACATCTTTTCTCCAGATTTCATGTACATTCATGCTGCCAATCTCCTGTTCTACCACATCAAGGTGTTCTACTGGATGCAGATGTGGTGACGAGGGAGGGCACAGAAGTCCACTGAAGTCACTGTCATGTTCACGAAACCAGTTTGACACCACTTTTGCTTTGTGACATGGTGCATTATCCTGCTGTAAGTAGCCATTAAAAGATGAGTAAATTGTGGCCATAAAAGGATACACAAGGTCTGCAATCCTCAGATAGGCTGTGGCAGTGAAATGATGATTGATTAGGATTAAGGGGCTCAAAGTGTGCCAAGAAAACATTTCCCACACCATTAAACCACCACCACCAGCCTGGGCTGTTGACACAGGGCAGTTTGGTTTCATGGATTCATGCTGTTGACGTCAGATTCTGACCCTACCATCTGCATGTATCAGAAATCTAGATTCATCAGCCCAGGCTAAGTTTAAAAAACAATCTCCGTCCAAATGAGTGCTTTAGCTCCGTATCAGAAATAACTGTATCTAACCGTATATAATCTGTCCATGCTAACACACTGGAAAACACCAAATGACATTCATTCATGAACCCTGGGCATGCGTATGCAGGTCTACAAGGAGACTGTCTACTCTGCATTTGGTTAGTTGCAGAGAATACAAGGAACAGCAAAGGCAGTTGTATTATCAAATGTAGAATTGAACTGCACAGCAGGTTGTAATTCATTATCCACGTGGTAGTTGTGACTGATCAATAACAATAAATAAATAAATAACAATCAAGAGGTGAGCGTGGGTGTCTACGTGTCTATATATCTACGTTACGTTACAAATGTCTTCATGTTTGCCCATTCAGAGTTCTCAAAATTAAACCAGGGTCAGTAGCATTACTGTTTTAGGGGCTCAAAAAAACTCAAAAAATGTTTTGCCTTCTTGATGCATTTGAGACCATCAGTTGTGCTGTGCCAAGATGGTATTGGTATACAGCAAATAGCTATTCGGCTACTGTAGTAATCCGTATCATTGCAAGAATGACTCAAACAAGTCCATCATCACTTTAAAATATGAAGGTCAGTCAATCTGGAAAATTTCAAGAGCTTTGAAAGTTTCTTCAAGTGCAGTTGCAAAAACCATCAAACACTTTGATGTAATTACACCATTACTGAGAGAGACCAATAAAAGCAGGAGAATTGCTTGGGCCAAGAAACACAACGAATGGACAGACCAACGGAAATCTGTACTTTGGTCTGATGAGTCCAAATTTGAGATTTCTGGTTCCAGCTGCTGTGTGTTTGTGAAGTGCAGAGAAGGTGGACGGCTGGTATCTACATTTATGGTTCCGACAGTGAAGCATGGAGGAGGAGGTCGGGTGGAGTGATGGTGTGTGGGTGTTTTGCTGGTGACATTGTTGATATTTTATCTAGAACTCAAGGCGTACTTGACCAATGTAGTTTTCACAATACACCATCCCATCTGGTTTTAAAAAAAATAACAGGGAGCATACCACACAGATGGTATTTTATGGATAGGAATGATTTCCCTGGGAATTTCTACATGAACTCCAAGCTTTGCTGTGATTATGTCCACCAGGACCTACATGCTGAGTTATGTAATACATACTCAGTGAAAATCAATGAAAATCTTCCTCACTATTCATTGATTTTCCGAACAATACTTGTCTAGTTACTTTATAGTTTTTCATTAACAGCTATTTTATGTGTGTGACTACAAATGTGTGTGTGAATCACTTTAAAAATCAAAGATTCGCCAATGCTTTCCTGCGGACACAGGGCAGGACGTCTCCAACATTTGCTTGGGTTTTTCCTCTGATAACTGATCCAGACATCCGAAGACTAAAATCCTTCATGTGGTTAAGATATATAGTTGAAAACGACTAAGACGTAAAAAGTGAATGTGGCTTACATCTATAAAAGTCAATTTTGAGCTTCTGTCAGGCAACCACAACACCGACCCATGCGCATAGGGGATATGATGTCATTGACAGGCGACTAAATGACACGTACTGTTACCATGATTAAAATCACGTCTTTCTCTAGAGGTTTGAGAATTGCTGGAAACATTTAGGATCGTCACACAGTCCCTTTCTCGCTCCTGTCTCTTGACACTTTGGCGCGATATACAAACAATGTCTGTGTCAAAGTTATAAGTAAGAGATCAACAAGAAAGTGGAAGCTTCTGTTTCATCTTTCTAACTCAGCTGGAGGAAAACCTGGTAAAACAGGTCGATGTTGTAACGGATGTGAGTCATGAAACAAAGTCTCTGAGTTCACACAGTCAGACCACAATTCATTCTTGATGGAGGAGCTGCAGATTGTGGCTCGTAATGACATCACAGATTTGACCCTTATCTATTGTTAAACATTGGGAAAGACCTGCCCCTTCAGACCAAAGTCAAGCTTTGAGTCTAACTTGTTACTTTTCTAATATTCAGTTGTATATTTTGGAATAAAGGACTTTAGAATCATTTGAACTGAAGTGATAACCTAACTGTTTACAGCATTTTAAGCTCATTGGAGCTTCTGTTTTAAGGTGCATTTCTTTGGCTGTGTAAGCAAACAAAAAAAGTTTCCTTTTGTATCTGGAAAACGTCATCATTTGCAAATATCACAACTATTCAAACAAGTGAACCATATGTAGGCATACAGCCTCCACCTTATCAGACAGTTATGTGACGAATATCGGTGGGAGAAAGACAAGGGATGAGATTTATAAGGTGGCACTGATGGGTGGGGTGTGTTAGTATGAAATCCAAAGTCAACAATGAAATACAGTGCTGACGGAGGCAACAACAGAGATAGAGGTTATAAACAAATTTAGAGGATAGTGGTTATAAACTAAAAAAGAGGATCCAAAGCACTCTCAGTGCAGCAGCCTTTGTTTATCTTTGACCACTCGGTGTCCCCCCTACCTTTACTCTCCTCAACCTGCCAGTTGCCCTTGTTAATAAATCACTCACTAATCTGTCCAGACACCTTATAAGAGGCAGCACAGACATACAGCGACCACAGAAGGAACACTCTTCTAAGCTGAGAGACATCTTGCTTCAACTGAAAATGAGATCACTCAATGTTGTCGTTGTTTTGGTGCTGTGTGTGTGCAGTGGAGCTCTGGGTGTGCAGGTTAAGGTGAGTATACTCTGTTATTGGAAAGACTGTTGACTTTGTTTTTATCTTATCAAGCTGTGTGTTTGGTTTCTCCCTGTCTCTCTGGTTGTCTTTGCTCTGTTATTTATTGTCTAAAGACA